GCTGCACCAGATTTTGCACCATGCAGTTTTAGTAAATAACCCCCCCCCTATATTATAGAAAATATATCTTATAATATATTTTGATTGCAAAGGAAAGTAACATTTCAGTACACTTGCCCTCACGTGCCAGGTGTTTACCAGGAAAACAATTTAATCTACAAAACAAGGACATTATTTACAACGTGTTTGTTTTTCGGAGTAAAAGCTTTGTGTGAAATCACTTTTAAGTATCTCCATCGATTGTCATCATTTTGGTATCAGTACATAAGCTATGTTGGTTACCAGCATGCAGGGACTATCACACATAAACCGCAGGCGCCAAGGCTCCAGGCTTTCCGTCAATACGTTATCAGCAGATTTGGTTTATCTTACTACTGTACAACTTTGAGTTTTATTTTCTATTTTTGGTAAGATTCTTCCACTCAATCTTTAAATCTTAAATCCATTATAAGGAGTTAATATAAAGTTGGTAAATGAAGTAAAGAAATGTATAAAAAGGAAATCTGAAACATGTTTTATAAATAAAGTAATAGTGCAGCGCTAAGGGTATAAATTAAATAAATAGGTACGAGGAATCAATGGTATGAACGTAGATATGGATAACTCCAAAAGGTGCCCAATGACTAGGTATGCGTTAAAATGAAAACTCTGAAAGATGTATAAAGAGTTCAAATAAATATTATTATTATACAGTATATATATAGCGCCAAAGGGTTTGCTCAGCGCTGTACAATAGCAAGGGGGACAGAACATGAGACAAAACAGTAACAATACATTACACGAGGGGTTCGAGGGCCCTGCTCTTTCGAGCTCACAATGTAGGAAATATGGTCAAAGTTCAGATAAACATCAAGGGTTATCGCCAGGTGACTCTGCTATTCCCAGTTAAATGTGATACAATACTCCGTTAGTGTGCAGGAAATACTGTAGGTAAAATGCGCACTCACCAGATGCGCATATAAATAGCATGTTGTATACAATAAATGGTGGTGTGTCAGGGATCCCTTCTACTGGATACAGCCTGGGGTTAGATGGCCCTCCTCTAAGTTACAGGATGATGATAAGCTGGAGGTTCCCTTTAGGAGATGTATAGATTTATTTTTATTTATTTAGTGATGTCAATTTACACAGCACTTTACATATATATTATACATTCACATCAGTCCCTAACCCTCAAGGGGTGTACAATCTAAGGTCCATAACTCACATTCATACATACATATAATAGGGCCAATTTAGACAGGATCCAATTCACCTACCAGCATGTCTTTGGAGTGTAGGAGGAAACTGGAGTACCTGAAGGAAACCCATGCAGGCACAGGGAGAGTATGCAAACTCCAGGCAGGAGGTGCTGTGGCTGTGATTCGAACCAACGACCCTAGTACTGCCAACCATTTAGCCACTGTGCTGCCCCATAGATCAACCTCTTCCAGGCACTGGGATGGTCACTAGGGAGATTCTGGGGGATTAAAGTGCTCGATGTGGAGCAAAGAAGGGGGGTATGCCTATAATGTAGTAATTAAAGAATGTTTTTAATGGTATTAAATGGCTAAAATGCCAAATGATTACATACACAGATATAAGGCAGGGTAAAAGCAAATGCATGCACAATAAAGCTGCTGAATAAACTGACCAGCTGGTATTCTAAAATGAAACGCATCATGGAGGAGCCTGCACGCCATGACGTCACGCATCCAGATCACGGAGGTCCGGTGGCCATTTCAGAATACCAGCTGGTCAGTTTATTCAGTAGCTTTATGCTGCATGCATTTGCTTTTACCCTGCCTTATATCTGTGTATGTAATCATTTGGCATTTTATCCATTTAATACCATTAACCGCTTGCCGCCCTGCCACTGTACATATACGGCGGCAGGGCGGCACTCACAGGCAAAACCACGTTTTAAGACGTGTGTTTTGTAAACAAATAGGGGGCACGCGCGAGGCGCGCCGCCGCCCTATTTGTCCCGCGGATCACCGCCGCAGATGTCAGTCGCCGCTCCTTAGCGGCTATGTCCCGGCGATCGGCGGCAAACAGTGACAGAGAGCACAGCTGCAGTAGCTGTGCTGTCTGTCACTTCCCTGTCAGCTCGAGGATGAGCTGATCGAGAAAGAACAGTTTCTCTTTCTCGATCAGCCTTGTCCCGCCCAGTACACACCCCCCGCCCCCTAGTAAAACACTCCCCCTCACTCCTATAACCCTTCCCTGCAAAATAAAGTTAACCCCTTCCTCCCCATTGCTATTAGTACAGTGTCAGTGTTTTATTTTTTTGCACTGATCACTGTATTAGTGTTTTTGGGGATGTCAGTGACCCCAAGTCAGTACCCCCCAATGTCAAAATGTCCGCCGCAGTTCCGCAGACCCGCAGTCCCGCCATAAGTCGCTGGTCACTGCCATAAGTCCCTGATCGCCGCCATAAGTCCCTGATCGCCGCCATTATTAGTATAAAAAAAACCCTAAAAATCCCAGTATCTTTCCCGCCATTTGTAAACGCTATAACTTTCACGTAAACCAATTAATTTACACGTATTGGGTTTTTTTTTTTAGCAAAGACATGTCGCAGAATGCATTTTGGCAGAAATTTATGACTAAATTTGATTTTTGCATTTTTTTTTACTGGACATGTTTTATAGCAAAAAGTCCAAAATATTGTTTTTTTTTCCTCAAAATTGTCAGCCTTTTTTTTTATACCACAAAAAATAAATACCGCACAGGCGATCAAATACCACCAAAAGAAAGCTCAATTTGTGGGGAAAAAAGCATGTAAATTTCATTTATATACCATATTGCATGACCGCGCAATTGTCTGGTAAACTAGCGCAGTGCCGTATAGCAAAAAAATGGCGTAAATTGCAGTATTTATACCATAGTTTGTAGACGCTATAACTTTCACACAAAGCAAACGAATATACACTTATTGGGATTTTTTTTACCAAAAACATGGAGCAGAATACATTTTGGCCTAAATTTATAACCAAGTTTGAGTTTACTATAAATTTTTTGCAGCTGAAAATAAAAAATATTGTTTTTCTTCAAAATGTTTGGCATTTTTTGTTTATAGCGTGAAAAATAAAAATGCGCACAGGTGATCAAATTACACCGAAAGAAAGCTCTATTTGTGTGAAAAAAAGGACGTAAATTTTGTTTGGGTGCAGCATTGCATGATCGCGCAATAATCAGTTGAATTAGTGCAGCGCCGAGTAGCAAAAAGAGGCCTGGTCATTAAGGGGGATAAATCCTCTGGAGCTCAAGTGGTTAAATCATTCTTTTTACCTATTTCCTGCACACTACCGGAGTATTGTATCACATTTAGCTGGGAATAACAGTCACCTGGCGATAACCCTTGATGTTTATCTGAACATATTTATTTGAACTCTTTATACATCTTTCAGAGTTTTCATTTTAACGCATACCTAGTAATTGGGCACCTTTTGGAGTTATCCATACCTACGTTCATACCATTGATTCCTCGTACCTATTTATTTATTTCATTTATACCTTTAGCGCTGCACTATTACTTTATTTATCTTCTTAAAGGCATATGATTTTCCTTTTAAGCGCAACAACTGCTTTTTATCTAGCGCTCGCTGAACGTTGTATACACTTTTATGTCTGAAACATGTTTTATGCTTATATTTATTGTAAAAAAAAAATGTTTTTACAGAAAACAATTTTGGTCAAGTTTAGGGGTTGGTTTTGTATGTTTTCAAGTTTATAAACGGATACAATCTATGCCTTACAAATACACATAGAATGCACACAGGGAAGTTGCATAACAAAGCATACTGGGCTTTCCAACAGCAAAGCCCAGCACCGCTGCACATATGGAGGCACAGGGATTGGTTTACTAAAACTGGAAAGTGCAAAATTTGGTACATGGTAGCCAATAAACTTCTAAGTTTGGCTTGTTCAATTAAAGTGGTTGTAAAGGCTCAAGGAGTTTTACCTTCATGCATTCTATATATATATTGCAGCTTTATAATACTACAGTGCAGGGGTGGACTGACAACTCATGGGGCCCCTGGGCAATAGGGGATTGTGGGGCCCCTGTGTCCTTGCCCAAACTCAAAAAAGCCTATGAAAAGGGTACCAGGGGCATCTCATGGGGCCCCCTACTGACCCCGGGCCCTCAGGCAGTGCCCGAGTTTCCAAATGGTCAGTCCACCCCTGCTACAGTGCCCTGCTAATCAAGTTTCATGAAATGTGGATCAAAATTGTATGATACAAAAATTTAATTTAAATGTGATAGTGTAATAATAACAAGGGATGATATTCAAACAACAGATAATTCCAGCCATGGCACCACCTTCCTGGAGTTTGCATGTTCTCCCTGTGCCTGCGTGGAGTTTCTTCCGGGTACTCCAGTTTCCTGCCACACTCCAAAGACATGCTGGTAGGTTAATTGGCTCCTGTCTAAATTGTCCCTAGTATGTGTATGTATGAATGTAAGTTAAGGACCTTAGATTGTACACCCCTTGAGGGTTAGGGACTGATGTGAATGTACAATATATATGTAAAGTACTGCATAAATTGACGGTGCTATAATAAGAACCTGTAATAAATAAATGATGGGAGTGATTTATTAAAACTGTTGCATTCACAATCTGGTGCAGCTGTGCATGGTAGCCATCCAGCCTATAACTTCAGCTTGTTCAGTTAAAGTGTTACTAAATCCAAGACCCTGCATTCACTATATGTGGGCTCCCACAGAACATGGAAATGCAAATGTTTTACAAAATATGTACCATTTCTCATTAGCAGTATATAGCAGTCTTGTGACCTCTATCAATGTCCAGCAGAGCACTGGTTAAAGCTTGTAGGAAGAGTTTTCATTCTCCCCTGATTGTCCTATGAGGCTGCATGACTCCTGACCCTCTGTCTGGACCCTGGTGATTGGCCCTGTGCTGACCACATGCATTCTCCCAAAGAATGCATTCTCCCTCGATTTTCACGTAATCTACTGCAGCCAGGTACCAGTATTATCTTGGTGTTGACTTCAGCTGGTCACTTGTATGTTTAGAGGATCAAGTGCCCCCAATGTTTTGGCACATGCCAGTTATAAGCATGGAGGTATAGCTATTCCCCTCAGAAGCAGGGGTGGACTGACAATCATGGGGCCCCCGGGCAATAGGGGATCATGGGGCCCCTATGCCCTTGCCCCAAATTCAAAAAAGCCTATGAAAAAGGTACCAGGGGTATCTCATGGGGCCCCCTACTGACCTGGGCCTTCGAGCAATGTCCGAGTTTCCAAATGGTCAGTCCGCCCCTGCTGCCAAGACGTAAAAAAAAAAAAAAAAACTATCTAGCAATACACACCAAACTGAGCATGTTCAGCTTACCCCCAAAGCTCTGTTCTTTCAGGAGAGTTGGTTTTGAGACAGCAGAAGGAGGGGAGGATCAGAGAAGACAGGATCAAACAGCCTTTTTAAACAATGAAGAGCATTAACCCCTTAGGTTCCATAGTATGTATATGTAACAAGCATATGTTACTGCATATACAGACTGATTTTACTGTTGTGGGTTTAGTAACACTTTAAGACACAGCAAAGCCAAAAGGCCAACAATGGGGGCCCCACAATTCTTTACATTTAATATGTCAGATGGTTTAAACCTGCTTTTTTGGATGTCAAAGCTGCATAGCACTGTAGAGTGTCAATATCTACTTCTATTTGCAGAATACTGAACATCTGCTACAGTGGCCAAGTAACCTGCAGAACCTCTGACCATTTCAGTTCATCCACAACCAAAAGCAGATACTTGGAGTCTCTTTGAAAGTTTCAAATCTGCTGCACATAACTTAAACAAAGATCCAGTGGAATCCATGGGTGGATGCACAGCGTTCAGGGCAACAGCCAAGTGTCATGGATGACCTCCTACGCTCCAATAACCTCCAGCTGTTCTTGTTTTTATAGCAATATTTATTCATTACTGTGGTGATTTGCTTCTGTTAGGCCAATGTCAGATGAACAGACTGTAGTAGGGAATCCATTACAACCTAAGCTCCAAAAGTATGAATAGGGATCACTGCAAGAGAGGGTAACCTATCCTCAAGAGATTGCATGGAGTCCTCCTTCCCTCATTTGTAGAGTAGAGACTTCTTTCCCATTCAAATCTCCCCACGTTGAAGAAAAATATATTTTAAATATAATTTAAAAATATGCTTCCCAAATATATTGACATATATTTGAAATACTACAATTTTGGCCATATTTAATATATTTCAAAAATACATGTAAAAAAAAAAAAAAAAAAAAAAATATATATATATATATATATATATATATATATATATATTCTGTATGTTGAAATGCATTTTTTTTTATATATTAAAAAATATATTAAAAATATTTTTAAAAATACATTTTCAAATTAACATTTTTGGAATGCATTTACAAATATATGTAAAAATATATGTTAAAATGACTTTTTTATATGTTAAAAAAAAATCTGAAGAATATATTTAAAAAATATATTTTTTAAATATATGCCTTTAGAAAATATATTTAAATTTACATGTTTTAGAATACATGTGAAAATATATTAGCGTAGGCCAATATATTGTAAATATAGGTCACATATATCATTTGTTTTCTAAATATATTGGAAATATATTTCTCTTCCATGTGGGTCTGCTGAGCTATTGCGGATAAACTGTGAATAAACCCACCGCTGCTGATTTCAAATACTGGAGAAGAAAACAGGAGAAAGATAACAGTACTGTAGCTGGCCAAGTCAATCAATCAAAATGGGTTATATGAAAAATCTTGTTTAAAAAAGTTGAAGGAGAGAGCGCAGTACACATAAGACAATAATATATGACCAAATGGGGTTGATTTACTAAATGCAGACATGCTGTTAACTTTGCAAAGGCTTTCCCTTAGCTTAGCACAGTGCTTCTCAACAAGGGTGATGTCTGAGTCATTAGCATGGAACCCAATCTGTCCAAGATCGGGGTCTCTCATGTGTAAGGAACCCCTGATGTATGAGAGGCCTCTAATGTGAGGGGCTGACTCTGACGTGATGAAAAGGGGTCCCTGACATGATGAGGGACCTCTGATGTGAAAGGTAGGCTCTGATGTGATGAGGGGACCTCTTATGTGAGATGGGGAAACCTTTGATATGACAGGGAGCTTCTGATGTGAAGGGGTGCTCTGATGTGATCAGGAGACCTCTGATGTGAGATGGGGGAACCACTGATATGATGGGGGGCTCTGATGTGATGAGGGAACCTCTGATTTTAGATGAGGGAACCTCTGATATGAAGGGGGGCTCTGGTGTGATGAGGAGACCTCTGATGTGAGATGGGGGGAATCTCTGATATGATGGGGAGCCTCTGATGTGAAGGGGGCTCTGATGTGATGAGGAACCTCTGATTTGAGATAGGGGGAACCTCTGATATGATGGGGAGCCTCTGATGTGAAGGGGGCTCTGATGTGATGAGGAACCTCTGATTTGAGATAGGGGGAACCTCTGATATGATGGGGAGCCTCTGATGTGAAGGGAGGCTAGGATGTGATTAGGTGCCCTCTGACGTGTGATGGGGGAACTTCTGATATGATGGGGGCTTTGATTTGAAGGAAAGCTCTAATATGATGAGGGGACCTTTGATTTGAGATGGTGGAGCCTCTGATATGATGGGGGACCTCTGATGTGATGAGGGACCTCTGATGTGATGAGGGACCTCTGATGTGTGATATGGGAACCTCTAGTATGATAGAGGACCTCTGATGTGAAGGTTGGCATGTGATGTGAAATGGGGGAACCTTTGATATGATGGGAGGGCCTATGATGTGATGAGTGGACCTCTGATTTGAGATGGGGGAGCCTCTGACTTGATGGGGTACCTTTGATGTAATGAGGAGACCTCTGATGTGTGATGTGGCAACCTCTAATATGATAGGAGGCTTCTGATGCGAAGGGGGGATCTGATGTGATGAGGCGACTTCTGATGTGAAATGGGAGAACCTTTGATATGATGGGAGGGCCTATGATGTAAAGAGAGGCTCTAATGTGAGGAGAGGACCTCTGATTTGAGATGGGGAAGCCTCTGATATGATGGGGTACCTCTGATGTGATGAGAGGACCTCTGATGTGTGATGTGCTAACCTCTAATATGATAGGGGGCTTCTAATGTGAAGGAGGGGGCTCTGATGTGATGAGGGGACTTCTGATGTGAAATGGGGGAACCTTTGATATGATGGGAAGGCCTATAATGTGAAGGGAGACTCTAATGTGATGAGGGGACCTCTGATGTGAAATTGGGGTTCCTCTGATATTATGGGAGGGCCTCTAAAGGGGGGGCTCTGATGTGATGGGGGAATCTCTGATATAATGGGGGCCTTTGATGTGAAGGCAGGCTCTGATGTGAAGTTAATTTCATGAAGGCAGTTCTGTGCATTATCCCAGGCTCAGGCTTCCCATTGATAGGTCATTTACGTTTTTTACATTTTAGACTCAGGATTTTTGCAAAGTTTTAAATGGTTCCTGAATGAAAAAAAAGGCTGAGAAGGAATGAGTCAAAGCTTTGATGACTTTCATCATCCTATCATGTGCAAGCAAAAACACATTGTTTTTCTTAGCACGTAATTGGGTATTCTTTGCAAAGTGAATTTTTACTATATTTGTAATTTCTATAGACAGACCTAACTGTGAATCTTTGGTAGAAAAAGTACATCATGATTGCCTAATATTATTTATTGGGAATGTGATATTCTTTAACAGCAATAACAGAGCTCCTTAAAACCCAGTTCCAAGAGTTAGACAAAATCTACCTTTCCAGTTCAGGCCACCCATGCCGTCTCCCAGAACCCCCTTCCCACCGCACAGAAGGGATTAAATGCTCATTAAGTCTAGGGTTATCTAAAGAATGATTTACCTTACCTAAGTGTGATGGTCAGTGGGGAGAGTGCTCCTTACACTTGTGGTCATTGGGAAAAATTACCCCCTTACCAGGGGCGGACTGACAACTCATGGGGCCCCTGGGCAATAGGGGATCATGGGGCCGCTGTGTCCTTGCCCACACTCAAAGCACACCCAAAAAAGCCTATAAAAAGGTGTCAGGGGCATTTCATGGGCCCCCTACTGACCCAGGGCCCTCGGGCAGTGCCCGAGTGCTCAAATGGTCAGTCGGGCCCCTGCCCCTTACAGATAGCTAAAAGGATCAATTGTGTCAGTGGGAAATTATCTTAGAGGGATACATTTTTCATAACTCATAGCTAAAAACGAGTTGTGTAGCGAGCGCTTACTGTAGTAAAAATTTGGTACAAGCCGCTAGAACACCAAAAAAGGTAACCAACATAACCTTCCAAGATAATATATCGACAAAAAGGTTCAGCGCTAATAATGAAAAGGTGAAATGTCAACATACACTCAATTTCAAGAGTAGAAAGATGAGTACATTAGATCATAAATGCATCATAAAAATAAATCTGATGTTCAGTCTAATGTCCATAAACATATAAAAAAGGGATGTGATGTGCCAATTCTGCCAGGTCTCCTTTGCCAATCAGAGTGAATGATCCAAAAGTGAGCAGGGAATAAATTAAATTAAATGCGCACTCACCAGAAGTGCGTTTAAAATACGCATGAAAGAAGTTTCCTTTCTCATCAGGTACATCTAGGTTCTCCGCACTCAGGTAAAACAGCGCTCACTGGTCCTCACTGGTCATCAATCCTGGTTAGGTTCCCTGGTTCATCAGACATTCATACACCTCTGGAGTCCCTCCTTAAACTTGGTACTGTGAAAGGGTGGCGCTCATAAAGAGCCCAATAAGGGACATCACATAGCGTGATACTGCATAAAGCACTTTATTTCAAGAGTAATGGTGTAACATGAAGATAAAATACTGACCGCAATCTTTAAATGAATAGCCACCTGCGGTGGTTAAGATGTCCAGGTGCTGTAGCCCTCTGACGCGTTTCGTGCTATGCACATCCTCAAAGGGTACAGGGCTCTGTCCCTGCTCACTTTTGGATCATTCACTCTGATTGGCAAAGGAGACCTGGCAGAATTGGCACATCACATCCCTTTTTTATATGTTTATGGACATTAGACTGAACATCGGATTTATTTTTATGATGCATTTATGATCTAATGTCCTCATCTTTCTACTCTTGAAATTGAGTGTATGTTGACATTTCACCTTTTCATTATTAGCGCTGCACCTTTTTGTCTATATATTTCATAACTCATAGCATCCTCTGAAGGAACCTTAGGGTTTCACAGAAGCCTGGTTGGGAATTCCTGCTGTAACCAAATCTTTTCTTTTAGACAGATGTATTT